AACCTATAGTATAAGTTTTATTAAAATCTGGCAAGAATTGTACCCATGAGAGCGCTAATGAGGCCATTTTCCATAAATTTAATATTTCCAATAGGCATAACTCTTATAAAAAGTCAATCTGCCACCATAATAGAACTTGTCCGAGATATTGCTGCTATTAACCTATAGTATAAGTTTTCTGAAAATCTGGCAAGAATTGTACCCATGAGAGCGCTAACGAGGCCATTTTCCATAAATTTAATTTTTCCAAGGGGGCACAACTCTTTTTTAAAAAGTTGATCTGCCACCATTATAAACCTTGGCCGAGATATTGCTGATATTAACCTATATTATAAGTTTTTTTTAAATCTGGCAAGAATTGTACCTGTGAGAGCGCTAACAAGACCAGACAGACGGACGGACTAACGCCCGGTATTTCCATGTCCCCTGCAACGCGTTACGCAGGGGACAATAAAGTATGTAGGGAAACCATAATCACAACATTTTTGTGGATAATGAACAAAATCAAAGCAAACAGACAAGACATAATCATAATAAACAACTTAAGTGGTCCAACTAGTTATGATGGCCTAAGTAGAACATTAAGATAACACAACTTGTATGTCATAATACATTGGTCAAAGAATTATAGAGGAAAATTTGCCATAAAATTGAATCTTTTTTTAATATAAATTTGTAACCTACTCATTATAAAACATAATTGAAATGTCATAACATTAATATCCATACTCGTTTTAACTACCTTCAAAAACATCACTAGAATCATATATTAAGTGATTAACATTTAAAATTACTTTCTCAATTATATATCTATAACTTGATATTCTGACCAAATCACAAACTTTAACAATCCTGTTATGCCAGACACAACACACCGCCTATGTAATAGTTAAACAGGCACTCAGCAAAAAAAGATGTCCCTTGCAGCTGTAAAAATATGGTCAACCAAAGGCTAACAATCCTACCAAGTATGAGATCTTTCTGTAAAACAGTCTAAGAGGAGTTGAGTTCACAAGGTGATATCTTTACAATTCTGAAGGATACAATGGTCAAAGTCCAGCAACTCCTGTCAAATTCGTCAAATCACACTGATGATATAGCATGGTCAAGAGAATACGACTACAAATAATCATACCTAGAATGAAAGCTTTCTGTCAAATTATCTATGAGAATATTGATATGTTTGGGACAGACAGATGGATACTATTACCATATCCAACATGGCATGGGGAATTCAGGACATGAAAACTTTTCCAACAGAATTTGAACATGGTTATCAAATTGAAAAGCTTCATCTTGAAGTTACCGACAACAATAAAAAAAAATAAATGGGGAATGTGTCCATGGGACACAGATGATGCCCCCGCTTGCATATCATATAAAGTTATAAAGGGACATAACTGAAGAACTATAAAAGTGACACTACCCAAATTTGTACTTCATCTGAGTTTTGTGGTAATAAGTATTGTGTATAAGTCTCATAACATTTGGTTGAGGCTAACTTAAGTTAGAGAACGGAAACTAAAAATTCAGCAATTTTTCCATTTGTAAACAGGCATAACTCGAGAACGGTAAAAGTGACACCACCAAAATTCAAACTTGATCTGTATTTTGTGGTAAAAAGAATTATGTATAAGTTTCATAACATGTGGTTGAGGCAAACTAAAGTTAGAGAACGGAAACTAAAAATTCAGCAATTTTTATGTTTATAAAGGGGCATAACTCAAGAACGGTAAAAGTGACGCCACCCAATTTCAAACTTGATCTGAACTATGTGGTAATAAGCATTGTGTATAAGTTGTATAACATTTGGTTGAGGCAAACTAAAGTTAAGAGAACGGAAACGAAAAATTCAGCAGTTTTTATGTTTATAAAGGGGCATAACTCAAGAACGGTAAAAGTGACGCCACCAAATTTTGAACTTGATCTGTATTATGTGGTAATAAGCATTGTGTATAAATTTCATAACATTTGGTTGAGGCAAACTAAAGTTAGAGAACAGAAACCAACTTTGGGACGTACAAACGTACGTACAGACTGACAAGGGTAAAACGGCGGGGGCATAATTATATATTTGAATAACAAATGGATAAATAAATACAGAATAGTTTTGAGACTGCCAGACAGACAGACCTAAATCAATTGAAACACACCTCTTTACAGCTGTAGTATAAATACATTGGAAAAGCTTTATCTAACACCACTTTAGATTCAATTACATGATTATCAGAGTCATTTTATATTTGGCAACATTGTTGTACACTTGTAGTCAATGTTTCCAGGGTATTTCAAATATTTTTTGTTGTTGAAAATTTGGCAAATAGTACATTCATGACATAAGAAAAGAAATACCACCATCAGTTTTGATCTGACAGTCGCAAATATCTGTTTTACTGGCTCACTTACACATCAATAATATATCTTCACTTGTAACCATTAGGCTTGCAACTGACAACAGTGCCATTCACAAAACAGTTATTTCTTATTTATACCTAGGCTAAAATACTAGCCTTACATATAAAACAAATCTACATACAACTTAATAACTGTAAACAAAAAATTACATAAAAAAGTAACATGATTATTTAGGAAAGAGAATAATTAAATCTAGCATGTAGCACTACCACCTTTTTATGCAAGTGACAACATAGTCATTTTAATTTGCTTCTTTTTCAATATCAGTTTATTGTTCAAATTCCTCTATTAAATCTCGTTACAAACTTCAAACTATCATGAAAAATCTCAATTTTATTTCTCATAATAATCAGGGAATAACAGCCGCATATCCATTTCTTTGCAACCAATAATGATTTAGGTTAATTGACATGCCTGTCACATATTTCTCAGGTATCACCTAGTTTGTAAATTTTGAGCTGATGATTGAGAAAATTGACAACAATTAGACGTCCATCTTCCGTTAAATGCATATCAGAGGGTCTTTTGATAGGTTCTGAGAAACCAACAATACACACAAACCCACCATCTGGACGGAATATCTGAAATACAAACAATCCACTCTAATAATGTTGTTAACATTTACCAAGGGAACTCCTTGATGATATTACAAGTTCAATTCATTGATCCAATCAATAATTATGTTAATTTATTATTATTTAAGAAAGTTGGAGTAAAAATTTTATGTCACTATAACATCACAAACAAGAATGTGTCCATAGTACACGGATGCCCCATTTGCACTATCATTTTCTACATACCTGCCAACTTTTGAAAGTCCCCATGGGGGTTTTAGTGCGCGACAACAATTCTTTGTGACATATTTTGCGTGTGCTGTTTTGTGGTCTAGAGAAAGTGTCATATTTGTATGATGAGTTTACAAGCCCTTTTCTTAAGTTTATTAGCATGATTCTAGTTATTATTAATATATCAGTAGAAAAGATGAATCTGTAGCTAGAAGACCAGGATTTATTTTCTTGTGTTTGGATATTAAATGATTGTTGATGTTTAAAATTTAAAATTATGCATAAAGAAGGACTTTTATCAGGTTGGGAACAACACCCCAAATGAGGGGTAACCCCTCAATGTAAGGACATTAAAAACCAATTTTAAGTACAAATGAGCACATATCTATAATATTTGAAGAAACTTTTCCTAAAGAATTATACATCTATCTGGTATTATATGGTCAAAACATGTCCAAGAATTTTGTAATGTTCCTGGATTTTTATCTTCTTTATTATTAAAAATAATTGGACCCCTCATTTAGAAAAGACTTTAAAGTTGTTCCAAATATAATGAATTTTCCCAATTTTAAAAATTTAAGTTAAAAAATCTTAATTTATCTTTTTTCTTTTATACAACAGTCATTTAAGGGATATACCCCTCATTTGGGGTTTGTTCCGTACCTGTTTGTTTGGTCCTTGTGAAAAATGAAGTACAAATGTATAGTACATTGTACCTTAAATGATTTGCCCCATTTGGTAATTTAATTGAATACAAAAATGACATATGTTTCAGCAAGTGTAATGTCAATAAATTAGTGAATAAACTACTATTTATTATCTTTATGGTAGTACTGCATCATTGAATTTTGTCAGTCAGCCATGCTTTTATTCTTACGCTGTTTAAGAACCTCCTTGCAGATGAACATAAACCTTCCATGTTCACAATTTTACAATTCTGACTAACACACAGAGGAATACAACACAAGTTCAAAATCTAGCATGTTAGAATTATCTTAAGAGAAAACGTTTTTGATTGGCTTATTAATTTGATCATGAGAAACACAGAATTTGATTGGCTGATCACGATTGTCTTCCCTTGGGATCAGGTCAAAATCGGGAACATTCATATTTTTCGTGTAGATTTTCACAAAATCGTGTTTTAGAGGTTTTTTCACGATCACGATCGTGCAATCGTGACAAAGGGTCAAAATCGTGTAGTACACGCCTAAATCGTGAAAGTTGGCAGGTATGTTTCTATGTTTAGTGGACCGTGAAATTGGAGTCAAAACTCTAATTTGGAATTAAAATTAGAAAGATCATATCATAGGGAACATGTGTACTAAGTTTCAAGTTGATTGGACTTCAACTTCATCAAAAACTACCTTGACCAAAAACTTTAACCTGAAGCGGAACAGACGAACGAACGGACAGACGCACAGACCGAAAAACATAATGCCCCTAAGTGGGGCATATAATGTTGAAAGTCGGAAGTTCCAAACCAAATACTTGAGAGAAATTCGTGTTCCCTAAACACAATAAAATGAACATGTGTACATGTACAAGTTTCATTGTATATACTAGCTTTACCAAAAACTTTTATTGTGATTTTGGACAGACAGACACACAGATACATCAAATATAATGCCCCTTGAGTTTGAAGGCAGAGCATATAACAGACAAAAATTGATTCAATGCTAAAATTTCATGATCATTTTTTGTACTTGAACCTAGTAAATCTATTTCATACCTGAACCCTGTCATTTTTACTATCTGCTACTATCATATTACCACTACCATCCACAACCTAATATAACTATTTCATACCTGAACCCTGTCATTTTTACTATCTGCTACAATCATATTACCACTACTATCCACAACAACACCGGAGGGTTCAAAGAATTCTCCATTGCCATATCCTCCTCTACCAAAGTAAGACTTGATCCTTCCTTGTAGATCTGTTACATAGATCTCATGTCGACCTTTAAAAAAATAATTATCAGAAATTAGAAAACTGACATGCCATCATGATGATATCAAATTAAATTTTCCAAGTTCATAAATATTGGGCGATGGATCATTATTCTCAAAAGTCAAAAAGCAATAGTATTTGCAAAATATCATATAATTTACTTCAGTCATTGTGACTGCAATCCAAAAACTTAATAGAACCTAAAAGACACCTAGAGGGCAACACAATGCTTCCATTTATATGGGTGTAAAATCCATCAAAATTTACATTCAAGATGAGTTCAATTATCTCCCCTTTAAGACAGCTAACTGGAGTGATTTTGTTTTAAGTACATTAACAGATGTTGTAAAGGCTGTACATAAAGTTTAAATGAAATTAATTTGAAGTTGTCTGAGATGTACATGATTTACTGACGAATACAAAAATTCTTATATTTTCTAACCATTTAAATACTGTACTATTATTTAATTTGTGTTTTGCACAATATCATGTCTTTCAGTATTGTTTATGATGTTGTCATATTTTCTACCAAGTACTCTGAATAACAACTATCAATATTAGTATAGGATGAAGTGATTTCTAATTAGGACTGTTCCATTCAAACATACATGGTACCCAAAATAGCTATTTTGAAAACAGGGTAACCGTCTAGAGAGGCAATTTAAGAATTTCTCTCTCTTTCACTGTGCAAAACCACCCACCCATGGATGAGATTTCAAGATGCATTCCCTGTCTCATGTTTTATTTTATGGATCTTTCACTGTGCAAAACCACCCACCCATGGATGAGATTTCAAGATGCATTCCCTGTCTCATGTTTTATTTTATGGATCTTTCACTGTGCAAAACCACCCACCCATGGATGAGATTTCGGGATGCATTCCCTGTCTCATGTTTTATTTTATGGATCTTTCACTGTGCAAAACCACCCACCCATGGATGAGATTTCGGGATGCATTCCCTGTCTCATGTTTTATTTTATGGAACAACCCTAATTAGAAATCACTTCATCCTATACTAATACTTAGGTTAGGTATTTTGAGCTTTATTGATGCAGTTTTTGTGTGTTTTTGTTTTACTTGTGCTTCTAGTTCAGATTTTATAGTAGCTATTTACCTAGATCACTGACAACAAGTGTACTCTTGCCAACATCTAGAAATCTACACCTTGTCTGTGGAATACGTCCCTGCAACGGTGTGTAAGGAAATGAGTTTACCAGTTCTCCCTCCTGGGAGAAAATAACTATTCTGGGGTTTCTTTTATCAACATCCAGTGTTAACAGATTTTTGTCTGGAGTCATACTCAGACCTGAAATTAGAGAGTTGACAACATTGAAGAACTGAAATTCAAGTTGAAAAATTATCACGTTATATAAAACAAAACACATTTGAATGAACTATTTTGAAAATTAGGAATGTAAGCGAGTAAGGTGTTACACAAACCAGACTTGAAAATATTCCTGGGGTCTATGTCATTTGATCGTCTTTAAAAATCCCTATCATGAATTTAAATCTTATACTGAATTATTCTGTACCACAAAACCAAGAGAGTTCACCAATTTAAATTTAAGTATTAAATGTATATAACTGAATTTTACAATTCTTTACCCATAGAGTGAGTGATTTGAATAATCCCATTTCATTCAAGTATAAAGTATGAATATTTGAATTTAACAATACTTTAACATGTGGATGAGAGAGCATTGGTGTTCTATTTGTTAAAGTTTTAGATATGAATTAAACCTTACTGTACCATAAGGCTGGGAGAGTTGACCAATTCCCATCTGTCTAATTATAACATGTATATTTCTAAATTTAACCATAATTTACCATAAGGTTGAGAGAGTTGACCAATTCCCATCTGTCTAATTATAGCACCTCTCTCTAGATCAAACATTCTGATACATTTATCATCCTTTACAAACAGTTCATTTCTCTCATTCACAACCACTGCTGATGGTCTCTGCATGGCAGGTTTCAGCTGGGAAAAAAAGAATGTTAAATAACCTTGATAGATTTAACAGACAGAGGCCTTACTTAAACAATCAGCTTTTCAAAATTTACAAAAAAAGTTATGCCGAAAATGAGGCTTTCCCAATTATATAAGGGCTGTTCCTTTATTAAAACATTACATGGAACCCATGGAAGGCACTTTCAAAGTTAATTATTTAAAGAAACTATGGAGGCAAATTTAGAATTTCACTTACATTTTTACTGTACTCATCACCCACTCATAATGGAAATTTCAAAGCCCCTTCCCTTGCTCCCATGTATGTTTTGATGGAACAGTAAGGGGTGTACTTGCTATCGAACTGGTTTAAGATATAAATTTGCACATTCCCTACTGTTACTCATAATTGTTATTGTTTTGTTGTACTGCAAATATTGTGAATTTTTGGTTTTGTTCTCCATCAAAATTCTGTAATAGACCACTTTCGAGTTATGTCCTTCACCTGAAAAGTTTGTCAATTGTGTGCCCCTTTGTGACGTCATTTACCAGATAGAAGGGATCGCCTGTATTCCTGCTCTATTCAAGTTCATCAAGCGTCTTTGTGATCGTCATTATGCAGGATAAACTAGAAATAATATTTGTTCCATAAGTACTTAATCACAATTCCCTAATGATATAGCAGTGCTGAATATCAACTATAAAAATTTAATTTGCCGAATAAATCGTGCAGTATAGCATTATCATTTTTTTCAACCAATCGCTCAACATAGGAACGGAAGTGATGACGCCCCTAAAAACACGAATGATGTTCACTAAAACCAAAGTTTTTGACGGAAATGCAACGAACTTGGAAGTTGTCTATTAGCTTAAATAGTTAATTACCATGGTACCAATGGTTAATTTCAACTTGCTGTCAGCAGTGAAAATCTTAACAAGGTGATTTCCAGTGTCTGCCACTATGACATCCCCTTTACTGGAGGTGGTGACACCTATTGGGAAATGAAAACCAAGGTCTTTCCCACCAATTTTTCCAACGAGTTTGGCTGGTATTGGAGGCAAAATCTTTGATACACCTCCTATGATATAAAATCAACATGCATGCGAGTAAATTTGTTTGTCTATGTCTATGATTTACTTTATAGAATTTTACATACATGAGAAATAACTACTGAATGATAATATAGATTGCTTGTCACAGCATTATATTTACAAAATCTCTTTAATATTACATAATGAGTGAAATATAAAGATTAATAATTAAAATGTTATCTAATTATAGCAGATGTTCACATTTTTTATCATTTGTCTGTACTCATGTAATTTTGGACATCATTATTGAGACAGCGAAAGATAAAGATAAAGATAATAAGACTATAAACGTTTTTATTCAAAAATTCCAATTTGAAGAGGACTGTAATAACTGAAAATGGCAAACATCACTATCAAGAAAGAGCTGCATTAAATTTTTTAAATGTCACATTTTGATATTTATTCATAAATTCAATTTTAACATACATTTTTTATAATGTTTTTAATTACCTTTTGACATGTTCTTTATATATTTAGCAACAGGACTAAGTGTACTAGCTCTAGGATTATTACTTTGTGTGTCTGGTTCAGGTTTGTTCAGTTTTGTTTCATTTGGTTCTCTGATGTTAACTTTGCCTGTACTGATTTCTGTTGAAGGACCAGTAACTGAACTACCCCAATCATCTTTAGGGTTATGACCCTTTATGCCTGTTAACGCACTGGTAACTTGTTTACTTTTAGCACCAGACCCTGTCTCACACCACTCATCACCTGAACTGTATGCTTCCTGTAACTTGTTTAAGCTGTGAACATAATGTTGTCCTGTTTTAGAATTTATGCCTGTTTCACACCAATCATTCATTGCATTGTGACCTCTTCCCACATTTGACTTGTAAGGATGGTTACTTTTCCCTGTTGTCACTACCTTAGGAACAGTTTCTGTCCAAACTTCTCCACCTCGAATGAATGTAGCTTTCTCTTGGGATGTTTCCAACCAGTTGTCAGCAAACTTTCCTGAATCTTTACCATCAGACACTCCAGAATCTTCTTCCCAACCAGAATCGGCTACTCCGCTTGAATCCCCATCAGTCTTGTCATCTTTGTTCTGAAGACTTTCAGTCTTGAATAATGTTTTTACTGGTAATGCTACTAGTTCCAATTTTACAGGTGATTGTATAATACCCTGCTTCTTACCCTTAATGTCAAGATAGCCATCACTTCCTTCTGGACGGGCTATTCTATAATTTATTGGAATAGCATTAAAATTGTTATTTGCATCTTTTTCAGTTTTAACCATTACTGGACGCGGAGATGTCTTTAAACTGGTTGAAGGTCGTCTCAATCTAAATTCCTCTGCATCTTTATCAAGAAGGCTTTGACATGTATATCTTGACTCAGCAATTTTCTTTTGACCCTTAGGTGTACTTGTATTAGAATTAGAGGTCATCACGTGCGACTGGTCATTTAACCAACATTCTGTTACACTGTCCACTGAGCCTACACTTTCTCCAAAGGGCAGACATTTTTCAATATATTTAGATTCTTTAATTGGAGATACATGTGGCTGACAATTTTTTGTATCAGATGATTTTCCCCACCAGTCTGAATTTTCTGGAAGATCTGAAATGCACGAAAATAACAGCCATGTAAGCAATATTCACTATGACAATGTTCAATGCTAGTTGTAAGTTGCATCCCTTAAAATCTTCATCTGTGCCTATTACAATTCAGACTACCTCATGTCTTCTTTGCTATTTTGTACTTTGATTTATGCAGATTTTTAGGAAAGAATGTTGTTAATTCATATACTTGAACTATTACGACAAGAAATAATCTTTAGCGACGAACACATGATTTTTGTACATGTATGTCCTGTTATTAATTTGCACTATAGAAATCATGGTGACCAAAAATAATTACCTTTGCAACTTTCGTATGTCATGTTGTTAAATTTAACGGTCAATACAAGAATTAGAAAACCCTTCAACTAGCATGTTATTTTTGAATGTCATGTCTTTAATGTGTACTTTTATGACAACAAATACACACATCTGCCACTAACATGTAATTTTTGTATGTCATGTTACACATTTGTACTATCAAGATCAACAATACCAACCTCTATGGCTAACATGTGGCTGGTGTATGACATTCTCAGCTTTCGCTGTAGTAATCAGACCAGTCAACATAGACAGACTTTGAGCAGCTAACATTGGTTTTTTCTGTTTCAGCGTCTCCTTCTCAGATAGAGGTAGAGGGGGTATTTCTGCGATACCAGGAGGTGGAGGTGGTCTGGAAAAATAAAAGCATTCTTAAAAATTAAAATACAAGTCTGCTAAATCATATTCATATTGTTAATTGATATTACTCAGAAGCTATGTTTTTCAATGAACAGATTTAATTTTATCTACATCAAATTTATTTTCGTTATGTCAAATTCATAAAATACACATGTTCAGGGGTAGGCATTTTAGGTGATAATTTGAGAAATAGAGCATTATTTTGGGCATGGGTAATTTTTTCCAACCCTAGAGAATGCTTTAAAAAATCCATGTTAAGAAATGTCCCTTTTATCTTACACATAGTTCTGTGTGAGGTTATCAGTATCATGTCTGGGAGTTTTTTTACTGTCTACTTTCCCATCTCCATAATTTTTGGCAGTAAAGGACAGTGGGTTGGACGACCTTTCCCCCTCCATCTCATCATCACTACTATTCCAAACAAAATCTTCTTCAAACTGCTTGTTCTTATCTCTCAATTTCTTGCCAGCCGTTTTTCTCATTTGAACTTTTGCTGATGATTTGACCTCCTTCCTAAGAGGTTTTGAAGGTGAACTTTTACAATCTTCTGGATATGAGGAGCTACTCTCATCTGAAATTGATCTTTTACCCAAACCAACATCCTCTAGAAAGTTACGTACCAACCTCACACAAGGAGAGATGTTAGGATTAACAACATCAAAGAACTTTCTTTTATCTAAGTTTTTTAAATCACTGTTCATAGCTACACCCTGATCGTGACTTTTATTTTGCAAAAACTGTTCGGTTGAATTTGCTGATTTACTAGCAATATCATTTTCATCCATAATCACATGGGACTGTGTTTCACATTCTGCACAACTTATAATAGTCTGGCTGTCTACATCTTTCTTGCCTTTACTGTAAGTACGTCCACAAAATGGACAATAATCTTTAAACAGTACTTCTGTTTGACTGGACCGAGACGATGTCAATCTATTTTGGTTCAAGTCTTTTTGATTATGATTAACAAGGTTGTCAGCTTGATTAATTCTGATACTTCCAAAGTTAGAGTAGTCATCAGCTGCCCTCTGTGGTACAAAGTCTAAACATATAACATCTTCTTCGAGTTCAAGGTCAGCAGAATTTTCTCTTGAAATTATCCTGAAATGAAATTACATAAAATTCTAATAAGCAGATTTCTCAAAATGTTGTTTGTCTATTGGTAATAGGACCACAAAGATTGAAATCTTTCCGTGAACATAACAAGTGAAACTGCGAGCTACTGCTCTCTGATGATACCCCAGCCGCAACTGGATAATTTTATAATTTAAAATATGCAAGTGTTCGGTAAACAGGAAGTTGTTGAGTGATGAATCTGAAAACGCATCACACGGTATAGCTGACTTATATAAACCCTGAAATCAAATTTCAGAAATCCTTGTGATGTAGCTACTGAAAAAGATGCGACGAAAAATATTCATGGGACGGATGGACTGATTGAAGGACAGACAGAGGTAAAAAAGTATACCCCCACTTTTTTAAAGCGGGGATAAAAAAATTTATTGCAACCCATTGGTCACTTTAAAATTTAAGATACATGTTGATCATAGAATGCACTTTATTGAACCCACCACTTTCATTTGAAAGTTCCTGTACAAAGTCAAGGCTATGAATATTTTTTAAATCGCAATAATTAAACACACGTTTTTGATGATTCTTCAAAAATCGCAATAATAAATGCCTGCAATAATTTCTGAATTTACAGTATTTATAACATTCATTCATTTCTAAGGGAATTTTAAGCATACTTAAAAGCTTCCAGGAGAGTTTTCCCTCTTTGAAATTGTACAGGATTAACTGTTTTAACAACTTTCTTTAGAAGTCCTTCTGTTTCCAAACACAGTTGTTTTACTGTGGCCTCTTCTCGCTGCAACTGCACTAAACACGAATTGAGGTAAGATGTCTTTTCCTGGAAGGCGCTGGCTAACTGATGCATCATTTCCTCATGAAATATTTCAAGTTTCATTCTAATATCCTGTACATATTCAGACAGCTGTTCGTTACTTGTACTTTGTTTCATCAACAACAGGGTATGAGAGGCATTTAGCTGACGGGAAATGGCTTTCATTTTCTTCAGCAGACCATGAGAATTCATTAATGAATGTTGAAGATCACTGACAATATCTAATGGCTGATCCATTTTCTGAAAATAAATAATCAATTCAATCTTTTAACATGCATTTCTCATCATTCAAAATCATAATCAATTTGATGAGCATTTATTTTAATGATTTAGCACATGTACATAATTTAATATTGTACAAGAGTTTTGGGATGCCTATAGCTTCTTGACCTCACAATATTTTTGAATTGTTAATAAATTCTTACAATTAGATATTGTGAGAACAGTTTATACAACTTTTTCATGTTGCCTTTTGTTATTAAATTTAAAAGTAGAAATGTTAATTAAACAGTAAGCAACATATAAACAAGTCAAAATGTTCTGACTTGTGGAAGTCAAAATATTTGGTGTAATGTACTAATGAGTTACCTCCCATCATTCATTTGTCATTTCCAAACAAAATCTGACTTCTATAAGTCAGATGGCAATTTTATTCTAAATCAAAATATTTAAAATTTGACTTTAAGTCAAATAAAATGCTCTGCAGTGTCCAGCTTGATACGACCACAAAGGTCGGACCCTGAACAGTTGGGGTAAGTATGGACACAACATTCAAGCTTGAAACAGCTCTGAATTTGGATTGTGATTAAATATTTGACACAGCATAGGTTTCTGACACAGAATTATTGTGGTCTCAGAACTTAAAAATTTTGAAATTGGACATTCACCTATTATGGTCTGATATCCAAAATCTAAATACATGATTCAATTCAGAATATCAAAGAATCCAAATGATTCAACGTTTCTATGAAATCAAACAAAGTTTAATTTTGGACCCTTTGGACCAATTTAATAACGGGGCCCAAAATTCAAAATCTAAATACATGGCATGGACTGACATTAACAGCTGTCCGATTGCCCGGGACAACTAAAAACGATGTTCGGACTACTGATTTTCAAAGTGCACTTGTCCGAGGTGACAAGTTAAAAAAAAAAAAGATTCAAACTAAATTTCTCCAGTTATAGTATTTCTAGATAGGAAGTTTATTCCTAAAATCGTAAATCAATTGTTGATGTCGTTTATTCAACCTTTATACATCTGGTGCAAATTCGGCATTTCGAGTATTATCCGTAATCTAAGTTAAGTTTTAAATATGGACCAATCAAAGAGCGCAGTATTTTTATCGGACCAATCAGAAGTCTCTACTCTCGCTGTTTCTTGGAAGTGGTTCTTAATAGAAATTAAAGGGGCAAACATCCAAATTTGATTTTATTGAATAAAAAAGTTGTCTAAAATTAAACACTATAAAAATTAAGATGTTAAAAGATTGATTTGAAAGAGAAATTTACCAGTACCATACCCAGAGTTCGAAAAAAGCGCTATCCCGCTTGCCTGAGGCAAGAAAAATCTGCAGCGGGCAGGTGAAACCCATCACATAGTTGTCCGCAAGTTACAATATTGTGTTTGTGTATAACTATGTTAGACATTAATTTCTCTGTGGTGTGTGTATTATTGTTACCTTTTTCATCATCTTTATTTATTTCATATGCGCATGCCTGGAAAATCGTAAACACAGTAGTTTCACCTGAATAATTCTATTGGATCAATTCCTATACGTAAGCCAATGAGCGCCAGCGTTTTAGAATGTTTAGTTGTATCTGCTCTGGGATTTCCACTACTAATCATGAAAGGAAGTCGATACAACGATCCAATCAGAACACATTTCGCAAACGACTTTTGGGTTGATTTACAAATGAAAGTAGAAAGAAAAAAAAATATTACCTAAAGTGTGCAACCCTGGGTAAAATGGAACAATTTTTAGTAAATTATGTCCCCCCTTTAAAAAAACTTAAAGAATCCAAATAAATTATATCTGCATTGTTTAGAATGAATGCATATTTTTCACAGGAAATTTGACAACTGGGTCAATTTCTACATGTACATTGTACATCTGAAAAATTTTTGTCACATTTTTTGTAAAAGTAAGTTTTTGTTTGAAATCATCTGCCAGGAGAGGTCTAGAATGCAGGATTTGGCTTCATTTACCCAATAGCTTAAGCGGCCGCCAAACCCCCTACCGTAATTGCGACGAGCTTTGCCATCCACATTTGTAGGGCAAGTTAATCTATATATTAAGTCAATGATCTTTTTTTATTTCTACCCCTGCATGGTACCAATGTACCTTTTTTAGTGTATGTCAGTATATGATTTTTATTGATCGCCACATCATTTTTTGAGTTTGGTCCAGACACTGACGCTGTCCCAACTAAGTTAATCTATATATAACTTGCCCTTGGGCAAGTCAATGGTCTTTTTTTATTTCTACCCTTGCATTGGTACCATTTTTAGTGTATGTCAGTATATGATTTATATCAATTGCCGCATCATTTTTTTAGTTTGGCCCAGACACTGACTATGTCCCAACTAACTGAACAGGAGGTCATACACTGACTGACAGACATTAACAGACTGTTAAAATAACAATATAGTAATATAGAACTTGTCATTGTATCAGATTCACTCTGTCTGAGCTCTATCTGAAAAATTCATCTTTATTTTTTCGTTTGCTACACTACTGTAGTGTTACTTAAATTTTCACTTCTCTGACTTTCAATTTTCAGTTCACAAATTGTACCCATTATATACTGAGTCTGTACAAAACTTAAAAAAAAGGTGAACTTAACAGATGGAGCTCCAACAATAACACAATAATTATACTTTATTGCAATGTTGTGCGACTTTATCAAATATACATAAAAGTCACTGCAAATCAATAGGTACTTAAAAATGTGGACCAATTTAAAAACAGGGTCCAAAATCCAAATACATGGTTAGATTAAGTATATTAAAGAACCCAAAGAATTCAAGACTGAATTAAACCTCATAGAAATTGGTCAAGAAATAAGCAATTTATGCAAAGTATTGGAAAAGTATTGTTTCTCTTAATCATAAACAGTTAGGGCCATAACCCCCAACCTTCTTTTTAAGGTATAGAACCTTGTGGTACAATTTCATGGAGATATATAGACTTACACTCAAGTTATTGTCCAGAAACCAGGAAATTCGTGATTTTTGGCCACCAATTCAATGGTTTGGGCCATAACCCCCAAAATTAATCATTAATGACATTATAGATAAATTTATTCTTTAAATTATGGAAAATTTATATTTTTTAATTTTGTCACATGTAAACAAACCATTGGCAAAAAAAAAGTGGTATTCTTTGGGTTAATGAGTGTCCTAATCTGTATGATTTAATGGAAATATGATGCACACAAAGCACCGGAGGCGGGCAGATGTACAATTCTATTTTTTTTTATCTACTGTCATGCACAGTGGAAATTAATAGAGGGGTACCATCATATTAGCTACGGTAATTTTAATATCGTATGGATAAGCAGATGAACACATTAAGTAAGTGAAAATAAGTTAAAAATATTACAAAATATTTACTAAAATAATTAAAATAACAAAAAAAAATATTTAGAAAAAAGGGGGGTCCATTCCATTATGGCACTGTGATCACATAAATATTCAATCCTCACAGCAGTTTACAAAATATTTCAAATTCTCAAAGGAAATTAATGTAAGGAGAAAATTGTCCGCACTATTTTTGACTGTGTTGCTCTTGGTGTTTCTTTTAAAATAACTGAACTATCTGCGGTCAACTGTTGCTGTAGTTTTTAAACGTCACATCCTCAGCAGCATGCAAGTTCTTAATCGGAAGTGGTGAGTAGTCTATATCAAAGGGGTGTTTCTTTAAAAAAATATATGACAATGTACTTATCTTCGGCATATATTGTTCAATCAATCATTTTTAAATCTTTTTCAACTAAGGCATCTTCTTTTCTCACTATTGTTGAAATTTTAAATTCATATTGAATTAATTGAATTAATTTTAAATCAACCTTCTACCCCTATTAAAAAATGGATCTATTCCAATTGACGCATGGCGGGAAAATTTCTTTTATAAACAGTGATCAGAATTCCTTATATTACTTTCCAGACAAAGCTGCATAGACCCCTTCGACTTGGCCACTTGAGGTTTATTTGACTACAGTAGTCTTAAAATTTAGTGACGTAATCAGTATATTTTATAAGTCTACAGGTTTATGATACCCAGTCTGATTTTTTTTTAAATGATCAGAAGATGAAAGTTCAAGAGTGGGAACTTTGTTCATTAACATACAATTGATAAAAGAGAGGTGAAAATTATGATTAAGCTTGTCAATGCTCTGATTTTAGTGCAAGCACTTTATGCATAAAACAGGTTAATCAAATATCTTTTATTCAATCAGTATAAATCACTAAAAATACTAATCCCTTTTGGGATTCAGAGTCCAGAGTAATTTTCTGATTTGGCAGCCTCCGAGAAAATCGATCCAAACTCAGAATTCCAAAAGAGATTTATATACATTTGATACCCCAAGTGGATACATGTTTTTAAAAACTTTCATGTATTTTTGTTTTTTTAAGTGATTTAAAATCATAACTACATTCTGCAGAGTGATTATATAGTTATGATTTTAAATCACTTAGAAATACAAAAATACATGAAAGTTTTAAAAAACATGTATCCATGTGGGGTATCAAATGTATTCAATAAGTCAGGGACCTACAAACATACATACAAAAATAAATTAGACATGTCTCCAGATGTCAGTGGGAGTCTTATTTACCTAAAGGCAGAGTTTTGTAGAAATGTGAATAGGGGGATACAATCTGGACATGTCAGTTTTTATGTTGCTGTGATGTCTTAAACATACTCACTGATGCTCATATTGACATATTTGATCAAAAGCAAATGAACCCCATTTAGCTCTTATTTAATTTTGCCAAGAACTATGGCTATCTTTCACATTAATTTTAGGAAAATTAAATATGAGCTACAACCTTACCAAAAATAGTTTTACCCAAATCAACATCTTACATAAGACATTTGACAACATACATTTTTGAGAGCTAATGCATTAGACAATAAGTTTAAAGCCAAACAAATTTGAAATTCAAAATTATAGGAAAAACTGATATGTGACGGACTAAGATCGTGTGAACATTTCAAGGATGTTTTATGATAGATTTATAATTCTTATTCATTTTTGAATTCAAGGGGCCTATCATACATTATACCTTCTCCTTTGAAGTCCAATATTCTAATAAAGGGCCAAATCTCCCACTCTGGTTGTTAAATCTCCAAATTTCTTCCTCATCAACTCTTTAACACAAAATCTTCTGAAATATGTTTTAACACTAAAAGCATTTTAATTCAATGCCGTTTTGATTGTGCATGTGCTTGTTGGTATGAAGGTTTATAAAAAAAAACTAAATAAAGTTTTAAGGTTTATGCAATATTTTCCTCAGAGAAAACATATCATTGTAGATGAATTTGAAAAAAAAATGGGATTATTGTTTGTAACAGAGAGGTACAACAATGTCTTAATCATGTGCAAGGACGTATAACTAACATTTGCATCTAATATATGTCCTTGTAATGTGTTAATGTTTTTCAAGACAAATGTCCAGAATACTTAAAAAAATTTGTTTTTTCAAGAACTTTATTGAATAGTACTACTGAAATAACTGCCTATGTTTTTTATGTTAGTGTTAAAGGTGTGAAATCTTTTACTTTCTTATTAAAAAACTAGAATTCTCTACCAGATCAAGTAAAATGTATTATTGTGAATTAAAAAACAAAATTTAAGTTTCAAGTAAAAAACACTTAATGTCGAGTAATCAGAGGTCAATGTCAGATGCAGATTTTATATTTTATTTAGTAGATTGCTTTTTATACAAAAGTTTTAAGCTGTGATACATAGATACTATTGAATGATAATTTTTAAAGGCAGTGCTTTAATGCCTTTCTAGTTGCCGTGTTAATCTTTCTTTCCGCGAAATCCAACTTATCTACGTGGGGGGTCATTAGGCTCCAAGTAGATCCGGAAAATGTTGATTCTCTCCTCTTCTTATTGTGATATAAAATGTGTTTTGTTTCATTTCATTTACATTGGGAAATAGAGAAACGATCATTGTGTTTTGTTAGTTTTAAAAACTTATGATATATTTGAATTTTTCATTATAAGCAGTCAACCGATTGACAAACTAGAATTATTTGAATTCCGTGTGGAAAGAGGTCGGGTTAATTTCGAGTGTTATCTGTAATCTAGATGTTTATAAATCATTTCAGTCGTTGATATAATAATTAAAGGTCGACTGAACATGAATTATATTATACAATTTAAAGCGCATTTCTGTTTATGCACGCGAACCCGTCTAACGTTATTGTTATTTCGCATTTATATAAAGTAGCAAATTATCGTTCCTAATTAGGTGGCGCCGTGGTAGCAGATCTTGTTCTTCAACTTCCGGTTTCTGCAATGTGCAACTATTACAGTTGCATTTTTAATTAACGATGCCAAGTACTTGTTGTTGTGTACCTGGATGTCATTTAAGAGGAGGACATGCATTTCCAAATGACTTAAAAAGAAGGAAAAGTTGGAACAACGCTATGGCCCATACGCATATTGGACGAGAACACGATGAAATCGTGGAGTCCATCTCAATCAGCTGTTGTTTGCAAGGCACATTTTACTGAAAAGACTACGTGCAGGAAACTATTCATGGTAAAAATCTATTTTCTTTTTTAAAATATATAGTTATATATGTAATCGCCATGCGAATAAACCAAAGTCTGTTTACAACCGCAATTATCGTTTTAGAATAAAAGGGGGTGGTTAATTCAAGACGTCATAATTTTTTGGATTACGATTCAATGTGATCTGTTTGAGCTTTTTTGGTGCTTGCTACAATTATAATGATTTCTTACAAGAGGTATATCATACTGAGAATTATTTTAGCAGTAATTATGCTAATGTAGTAATGACATGAATGCATAAGCTATGCCTCATAGACTTTCTTGAAAAATATCAATGACAATGTTAACAGGAACAAAACAATGACATGCTCTCATCTATGTTATAGTTATTTAGGTACAAACAGTGTATGTTTGTTGCATACGTCTCTCATTGTTTGTCCTTTGGATTTACATAACATACATTTTGATGTACATTGAATCAGCCTAACATAGTTTTATCCAGATTGTAATGAATAAATCTAGTTAATATTTTGCCAGGTAGTACAAAGTATGCATTGCTAATGGAAGTTCATTTAATTATCAAAAAACTAATGTTTTATAACCTTTTTCAGGGCGCAAACCCACCATACAGAGACTTAAGTCTACTGCCATTCCCAGCCTATTTTCCTGGACCGAGCAAGAGACTGAATCGTCCGCAAAAAGAAAAATCAGGGCAGTTTCCTGTAAAAACAAAAGAACTAAACTTGATGAATATTGTAGTAGAAATCTAGAGGAAAGTTTTGATCGTAAAGTTGGTTTTCCTGAAGAAGTCATTCATACTGCAGACAGGATTTATGACTGTCCACCACCAACTGCCGAGCTAATGTTGAGCTTCACAGATGGAATTACGCAAACACCATCAATGCCTATATTTTCAGCAGAGAATTTTGAAATGAAGACACGTGACACAGCCATGCATTCTTATACCGGTTTAGAGTTGTATACTAAATTTTTATTTGTTTTGACCACACTTGGTCCAGCAGCACATTGTTTGAGATACATATATTTTCAAATTGATAGGGTGTCATTTGAAAATCAGTTTTTTTATGACTTTGATGAAATTGAGGCATTATACAACCAACTTTGAACTGTCTAGATTCTAGATTGAAACTAGTGTTAAGAATATTGTGTAAACATGGATTGTTTTTATGTCTAAACAGTGGAGTGAGGCTAACACTTGGCCATTTAGTGGTTTAGTCAGGTATTTTTCGCCATCCAACTTCAAATTAAAGTTTCCTACAACTTGGATTATTATTGAAAGCACAGAATATCCCTTGATAAAACCTAAAGCTCCTAGAGCTCAGGCAACCTTTTCATCATATAAAAACAGAAACACTGAAAATACTTGTATGTTCGACACCTGGTGGTTTAGTCAACTACATGTATGTCTCTAATGCATATGTTGGTTGTACCAGTGACTGTGAAATAGTTGAAAGATGTAGAATAGTTCAATTATGTGATCCAGGTGACAGTGTGATGGCAGACAAAGGTTTAAATGTGCAAGATTTGTTTGCTCACTTTTTAAAAAAAAAGAAACAGAATTAGTTCCAAAACTCTTATACGGGATAGAAAAGTCTCCAATTAACAGGTGCACATATAGCTAATTATTGGACTTGGCAAAACATACAAAATTCTAATAAATCCTATGAATGGAACTGAAACAAAACTTTCATCTGAAATAACATTTAGTTGTTTTATGTTGTGTAATTTTACAACTTGTATTGTGCCAAAGGATGCATGAATAAAAGTGACGCAATGAAGTTTGTTCTGATATATATATATAAATATTATTTACAATTACATGCACATGTAAATTGTAATGCATACATGTATAAAAATAAGGAGATGTGGTATGATATATATTCAGTGAGTTTATCGAACCAAAGTGCATAAGAAATGGGTTAAGCAGTTACAGGTGTTACTGTCATCGTACAATCTCCAACAATTAGAAAAACTTGTACCGTGTAAAAAATTTCAGAGATCTTACAACTAAGTTTTGTTGTCTCACCTTGACTTTGGTGAATTGTTTATATCTGTTGATGTAAATATAAAAAAGAAGATGTGGTATGATTGCCAATG